GTTCTTAACATGCTTACATTCTTGCATGTCGCCATGCCCGGGGGTGGCTGTTCTCCGATAAGCGCCCTACTGGGCACTCCGGGGACACTCTGCGGTTGGGTACTCTAGGGAGACTCTGGGGTTGGGCACTCCAGGCAGAATTTGGGGCTGGGAATTGGGCACTTGGGGCTGGGCACTTGGGGGACACTCCTTGGAGACTTTGGGATTGAGCACTCCAGGGATGAGCGAGGAGTAGACCGGGCGAGGAGAAGAGTTCCGGGCGAGGAGAGGAGTTTCGGGCGAGGAGAAGAGTTGAGCTTAAAATCTAACGACCCCACACCGAGGGTGGGGAACAAAGAAACACAAATGACAAGCAATTTACAAGCCCACTTCTCCACTCTTGGCTCGATTTCTGCTCTCTGGTTCAGTTCCCGCTGGTGCGAGTGGTCTACCCATTCACAAAAAGAAAGACACATGGATTCACGGAACGACGCTGCTTTTCCGCAACTGGAGATCTCTCGTAGATGGCGAGATGGCGAACAGATTGAAGGTGTTTGGAAAAAGAAAGCCCGTCTTGGGGTATTGAGTATGCACACATACAGCGGTAGGGAATGGGCGACGAAATGGCCAGGCAATGGTGCACCTGTGCCGAGTTTGGCCAACAAGGCGCCTGCTAAGAAGGGGCAAACTCTAAACGCGGTCTTCGGTGCCGGGCTCGGTGTTTGCTTGGGGGTGACCTTGGGTGACTTGGGTGACTTCGGGGATCTTGAGCTTCTTGGGGGTCTTCTACTTGCCTCCAGTGGGCACATGGCCTCGAAGAATACTCCATTGGTAAGACATGCTTCGAGTTATCTTGTGTTTCAGGCCACAAGAGTGTAACACGTCCCAAGACTGCACTTGAACTTGAACTTGATCAGGCGCAGGGGCCCGGTCGGCAAAGGCGCCGGGCGATTTCTGCTGCGTTCCTACCGGTCCCTAGCAGCACAATTCGAATTTTCATCGGGGGGTCCGTTTGTCTAGGGGCCCGATCTTACCCTGAGCTGAGAGATGAGAGCACTTGAGAGCTCCTGAACGTCCGTGGCCGTCTATCTTTGCTTGAAGTCTTGAAAGGTCACAGTTTCGGCCGCTTCACACTGCATGGGTGAACTCTTTGATTTCAAGGTTTGCGAGGCTTTTGCAAGGAATTGTGAGCCCACGATCTTTATGATTCTTCGCACAGCCCCGGTCGCTACAGCCTCGAAGCAACTGTTTGCAGCGTGGCCGTGCGCGGTGCCAGAAAACCACGAGGGTGAGGGCAGGTTGACGGGACTTGACGTGAGGGTGGGTTACCGCAGGGTGTGGGGGGGTGACGGGGAGGTGGGGTATGGCACGGAAAGAGAGATAGATTCCTCTGATAGGGAGGTGCTCTCTGCGTTGTTTTGCTCTTTCTGTTCTGTGCTCTTTCTGCTTTTTGCTCTCCGTTCTCCTCATGGCCATCATCAGGTCCGCGGGGAGGGAGCTGCAGGCCCCCCTCCAGGGCCTCGGCACGAACCTGCAGGCCCACAAACTGGTCACCACATGTCACCACATGTCACCACATGTTACCACATGTCACCACAGCTCTTCTCTAAATTTGACATCTAATGACATCTACGCCTGATCCAAGACTTCGCGGAAGGAAGGCGCCTGTCAGAGATCTGTGTGAAGGCGGAGCAAAAGCCGCCTTTTCAACAGCTTTCCTCACAGCATTCCGCAGCATTCCTCAAATGGCTCACAGAAAAAAGGAACGCCTCTGGCGACGCGGACATCAGATCATCGAAGATCTCCAATATTTTGAGGAGCCCAGGAAGGATAAGGAAGGCTTGAAGTTGCGCACTCTCAAGTGTTTCTTTTTGTGGGAGTGGGTGTTGATTGAGAAAAAGGAGACTGTGCTAGCAGTGCTAAGTCTCTCTCAATTTTAAGAGAAAAAGGCCAGCAAGAGAGAGAGAGAGAGAGCGTGAGAGCGAGGGAGGGAGAGGGAGAGAGAGAGAGTAGTGCTCTCGTACGCTCTTATGATTAACACATAGAAGTACATGCTGGGTTGAGAGAAAAGCGTCCTCGCTCTGCATCGCATCTTCTCAGTGCATCCTAGCTCTGGCAGCGAAGCTGAAGCTGAAGCCAAGATCGCAAAGGCCAGCGAGGCGGTTGTGAGAACAGCAGCCTAAAACAGTAAAGTTCAACCGCGACAGGAGCTCAGACCCTGCACCATCCACACCATGGACAAACAAACGAGCAAAAAAAAAAGAGAGAAGAAGACTGGAGAAGGACAAGTCGGGATGTAGTTGCTGATGTCGTGAGCTGCCGCCGTCGGACCCCAGCCGCCGCTGGTAGCAGCTACCCAATGAGTGAACTTGTGGGGGACGGCAGGAACGAAAGCTAGTGCAGTTGCTCGAGAAGCCACAGGAGATCAGCATTGACCGAACAGGCAAGGGCAGCCCAAGACCATCCCAAAAAAATGCAAATCCCTGGACCCAGAGTATCCCCACACAATCATGGAGTGCCCAGCACCGAGTGTTTTTGTCAGAGTATTTCTGGAGTGCCCAACCGCGGAGTGGAGTGCCCAGGCTAGACGAGCATCCACAAAACCCTGCAGTGCCCAACCCCAAGAGGGCAGATGCGGCAGACCAGAGAATCCCTGGAGCGCCGAGAATCGCCCAGCCCCAGAGTATCCCCAGAAAAAAAATCCCTAGGTTGCCCAGCCCCAAGAGGATCCCCAAGAGAAGTCCCTGGAGTGCAACCCAGAGTATCCCGAATCCCTGGACTGCCCCTTGGAGTGAAGAGACTCGCTGCCCAACCGCAGAGCATCCCCAGTGGATCCCCTGAGCATTAAACTTACCCGTGCACGACTTGGCTTTGATGCGTTGGCATTTAGCTCACCAGCTCACCCGTACGCCGCATGTGGTTTCAAAGGTCTTGCAAGGCGTTTTTTCTTGAGCCTTCGATTGTGGTCATGCAGGCCAACAGCGCACCTTGGACCCCAAAAAACTAGGCTTGGAGACCGAAGCCAGGTGGGGGCCCACCCCAACCGGACCCTCTCCCCACACCCCTGTTGTTCAACCTTACGGGTGAGCGACTCGGCCCTCAAAGGCTGGCTTTCGGTACATGTTTTGATCCTGCTGCTTCAGGGCGCTAAACACCCGGAGAGACAAGGCGCCTGAAGACCTCTAGAGCCTAGGGGATGCCCACAGCTGGACCCCCACGCCCCGGTTGTTCAACCGGTTGGTTAGAGCCCTCAGACCTGTATTTTCAACCATCAGGTTCACGACTCGAGTTGGCGTTCGCGCAGTTCGGGGGGGTGGTGGCGGGCCTTTTCAATGCTGGGATGCCGGGACCTTCGACTTGATCGTGTTTCGATTCTGTCTAATTGCTGAGTCCCAAATACTGACTTTCTGCTCCCTCTCTCTCTCTGTCTCTTTCATGTTGTTTATTCACATGTGCTGTGCTTATTTGCTGCAGAACTACAGTGGTTTATGGGAAATGTGAGAGACAAAGCGCACTTTCAACATTTGACATCTAACAAGTGCAATTCAATGCGTTTTTTGCAAACAGTGGTTGCTTTGACAGGAAACAAAGGCAAACATGACTTCCGACTGTGAAAACATTGGTCTAAGAAGCACATTTCTGAGCCTGAAGTTGGAGATTTCGGTCATTTCCTTTAGAAGAAGACATTCATTCTCTTTCTCTCTTGGTGTGTGGAGAGCGAGAGCGAGAGCGAGCGCGAGCGCGAGCGCGAGCGAGACAGAGGGAGAGAGAGAGTGAGTGAGTGAGCGAGTGAGCGAAACAGGTTTTGTAGGAGAACGACCGAAATCTCCAACCTCAGCCAATAGTGTGTTTGCAGTCAGAAGTCATGTTTGCCTGTGCTTCTTGGCCAAAAGCAACTAAGCAACAACCGTTTCGCTCTCACATGTCCATGTCCCAGTTTACCTGTGATCAACGGCACGCCAACAATAATTACAGGACAGGAATTTCTGCGCCAAAACGTTGGTGAAAGCACGAGAGAGGGAGCTGAGCACTTGCTCTTCTGCCCCTTCATTTCTGAGTTTGTGTTGTCCCAGCCCCCCCCCTCCCCCGCTTCCCTGGGCACACCGACTGAGGTTGTGACAAAACTACAAGCTCAAACCTTTTGAGCACTCACGGGCTGTCGATCCAGCACCACACAGACTGTCAAGACGCAACTGACTTACTCACGTGCCCCAAAGGGTGAGCCCACGTACCTTTTATGGAGTGTTTTAGCAGCTACTCCATAAATCTCAAACCCTGCCTATGTCAGCCACCTCGTTGTCAATCCCTTGTGTACGTTCTTTGTGTTTGCACACCGATTGTGTGTGTGGTGGCTGTCCTGCTCCCTGCTCTGCTGCAGCTTGCGGCCGTTGCGGTTTTTCCCGTCGCTTGAAGCTCAACCAGTTGGTGATCTGCCCAACGTAATTCTTTGCAGTGGTCGGCTGTGATGTGAGGCCATCCTCGTTACCTGGCTGCCAGCTCACACGCTTCACCAGCCACGCAAAGAGTAGGTCTGAGTAGGTGGTTCACCCAGCTTGTTCTGAGGCTTAACTTGCGTCCATTCATGGACTCGGCACCACTCAGCGATGGATGAAACGCTTTCGGTGAACTATCGGCTCCCGTTCTAAGTTTATTCGAGTTTATTCGGCCAAGGTATGCCCACTCATGACAATGTGATCTGTTCCAGAAATGTCAAACATCTCTGCGCAACACGCTGTGTAAAGTAGCAAAGACACTGTACATTTATGTAAATGTTACAGCGTTTTGGGGATGTTTGCCAAAGGCATGGACGCTTGTGACATGAACGACGTCACATTCTCCAGACACGCGCAGTGAGAGCTTGGAAAAATTAAAGAAAAGGACCGTTAAGAGAGAGCTTTGAACGAGGAGACTCTGACAGACATCTCTCACTTCTCTCTGACAACAAAAGAGAACACAAAGGAAAATGAGAAAAGGAGGAAGTCTTCTCAAAAGTCTCTGCTCCGAATGCAGGGCCGCCGGACCGCTTCGAGGCCTCCGACTGGAGCATCACCTTTGAAGCGAAAGAATTCGAAGCGAAGAGAGAGAGAGAGAGAGAGAGAGAGAGAGAGAGAGCGCAAGCAGCTTCCCCCCCCGAAAAAAACTAAGTAAAGAGAAGAAAACGAAAGAAAGAAGAGAGAGAGCTCAGAGAGAGCTCTCGCTGCCTGAACTGAGCTCCCTGGAACGAGATCCCTTTGACTGGCAGACTCGCAGGCTCGCTGGGGGGGGGGGGGGGTGTGGGTGGCTTAAATAGGGTGCGAGTCGTGTTTTGGTGTGGTGGATAGAAAGGAAATTGCATGAGAAAGTAGCGAGATGAGCTCCTCAATTCCCTTCCTTATCTCCTATGCTCTTTTCCTGATTCATTGCAACAGGAGAAGACAGAAAAGAAGGGCTTCCGTTCCCCTCTTGTTCTTCCGTTCTTGTGTTCTTGTCAAAGGGGAACAGGAGAAGAGAAGGAGGGAGAGATAAGAGGAACACAATTTTAATGGGAAGAGCAAGAAAAGAATAGAAGAGAGATGAATATAAAGGAGAGGGAGAGACAAAACAAGGCGCAAAGAAGATGGCACTCTTCTTTATCTATCCTCTCTCCCTTATCTCTCCCTTCATTCTGTCTTTTCGAAATAAGAAAAACTAAAAAGGATTAATTATGAAAAGGATAAGGGTAAGGTCCACGCGCAAGGAGTCACCCTCTGCTTACCCTTCCACTGCTTTATCATACAAGTTCCTTTCTTGTGTTCTATCCGTTAAAGTTTGAAAGGAAGCAGAAGGAGAGAAGGGAAAGGGAAATGAGAGAGGAGAGACAACAAGGAGGCCATTTTAATTTTCTGGAAGGGCACTGAAAAGAAGAGAAGAGACAAGAAACAAGGAGACGGAGAAACACAACAAGGCGCAAAGAATATGGCATTCTTCTTTATCTATCATCTCTCCCTTCCTTGTCTTTCCCTTGTCCCTCTATAATGAAAAAAGACAAGGCTGGTCTTGCTCTTCGCAGACAGGTGACCTCTCTCCTCTCAGGAAGCCCCCCTGCCATTATTTTGCTTGCTTTTTGAAACGACAAGGAAAACAACACATAGAAAGAGAGGAAAGGGAATGAAACAACAGGCAGTGGAGCTCTTCAATGTCTTTCCCTATCTCTCTTCTTTTCCTTCTTTCATTCTTTTGTGTGTTTTTGAGCTTTAAAGGAGAGCAAGAATAGAGAAGGGAAAGAGAAAGGAGGGAGGAGAGATCAAAAGGAATGCAATATTCATGGGAAGAGCAATGAGAAGAATGGAAAATAAATGAAAATAAGGCAAAGAGAAGATGGTGCTCGTTTTCATCTTTCCTCTCTTTCCTATCTTTCTCTCCTCTTGTTCGTTTCCATTTGAAATTAAACACAACAGGAAGAACAATGAACATGTAAAGGAACCCGTTTTCTTTTTTCCGTTTGGGAACAAGGAAAAGAACAGAGGCGATAGGGCGAGAGGAGGAATTTGCTGAAACATGGGGAGGGTCTACGAGTCTACGGGCAAGGAGCCAACCCCGCTCACTTTCCCCATCCATTGAAACAGGAGAAGAAAGAAACAGGGCCTCCAATTCCTCCTTTCTTGCGTGTTTGTCGTTTGGAGGGGAACAAGAGAAGAGGAGGGAGAGAGAAGGAGAGAAGAGAGACAAACAAGGATTGCATTTTTAATGGGAAGAGCAAGAAAAGAATAGAAGAGAGATGAATATAAAGGAGAGGGAGAGACCAAACAAGGCGCAGAGAAGATGGCACTCTTCTTTGTCTATCCTCTCTCCCTTATCTCTCCCTTCCCTCTTTCTTTTCGAAGGAAGAAAAACAAAAAGGAAGAACTGTGAGAAGGAGAAGGGTAAGGAAAGGAACAGAAGAGATAGGAAGGTCCACGCGCAAGGAGTCACCCTCTGCAAACCCTACCACTGCCTTCTCATACAAGTTCCTTTCTTGTGTTTTATCAGCCAAAAGCAAGCAGAAGGAGAGAAGGGGAAGGGAAGTGAGAGAGGAGGGCTAACAAGGATGCCATTTTTGTGGAAGCGTGCTGCAAGGAAAAGAAGAGACAGGAAGCAAGGAGACGGAGTGGCAAAGTAAGGCTCTTCACAGATGGGCGACCTCCCTCCTCTTCAGGAAATCCCCTTTCCCTTACTTGGCTTTTTCAAGCGAATAAGACAAATAGCAGATAAGAAGAGAGGAAAGGGAATGATTAAGTGAAGAGAGGAGCTCTTCAATTTCCCTCCCTATCTCTTCTGCCTTCCGCCCTTGAAGATGCAGAAAACGATTGAAAAGGACACACATTCCATCGCCCATATATAGGGAGAGAGAGAGAGAGAGAGAGAGAGAGAGAGAGAGAGAGAGAAAAAAAAAATCATGAGCATCAGCTGGGTTTGCTGCCAATCCAAAGTGGGCGTCCCTTTTGATCGCTTTCTGTGTCTTCAAACGAACAAAAGGGACACCCTCAGTGTTTTCTTTTGGGTGTCCGCTTGTCTTGCTTGAAGATGCAGAAAACGATCAAGAAGGACACCCGTTGGAGGGAGAGAGAAGGAGAGAGGAGAGACAAACAAGGATTGCATTTTTAATGGGAAGAGCAAAGAAACGAATAGAAGAGAGATGAATATAAAGGAGAGGGAGAGACAAAACAAGGCGCAGTGAAGATGGCACTCTTCTTTGTCTATCCTCTCCCTTCCCTCTTTCGTTTCGAAGTAAGAAAAACAAAAGGGAAGAACTGTGAGAAGGAGAAGGGTAAGGAAAGGAACAGAAGAGACTGGCCGAGAGGAGGGGTACGATAAAGTATTATGGAAAGGTGCTCGCGCAAGGAGTCCCCTTCTGCTTGCCCTTCCACTGCTTGATCATACAAGTTCCTTTCTTGTGCTTCATCAGTTAAAAGGAAGCAGAAGGAGAGAAGGGAAAGGGAAGTGAGAGAGGAGGGCTAACAAGGATGCCATCTTTCTGGAAGCGCGCTGCAAGGAAAAGAAGAGACAGGAAGCAAGGAGACGGAGTGACAAAGTAAGGCGCGAAGCTTTATACATAGTCTCTCCCTTGTCCCTCCCTATTCCCTTTCGAATTAGAAAAAAACCATTCTTGCTCTTCACAGATAGGTGCCCTCCTCTTCAGGAAATCCCCTTTCCCTTACTTGGCCTTTTCAAGCGAATAAGACAAATAGCAGATAAGAAGAGAGGAAAGGGAATGATTAAGTAAAGAGAGGAGCTCTTCAATTTCCCTCCCTATCTCTTATGTTACTTTTCCTTCTGGTGGGATGCCCCTTCCTCCCTTGAAGATGCAGAAAACGATTGAAAAGGACACCCGTTCCATCGCCCAGAGAAAGAGAGAGAAAGAGAGAGAGAGAGAGAGAGAGAGAGAGAGAGAGAGAGAGAGAGAGAGAAAGCTGCCAGTCCAAAATGGGCGTCCCGTTTAATCGCTTTCTGTGTCACAAAAGGGACACCCTCAGTGTTTTCTGTTGGGTCTCCACAGATTTTCGGGAATTTCGGGTTTCGGGCTTCGGAGGTGTCTTGCTGTCATGCTTTTTTGTGTCAGCACGGCTCTACTGACACATATTCCGCGGAAAATGTGTCATGTTTTTTGTGTTCGCACAGCTCTACTGACACATATTCTGCGGAAAAAATGTCATGTTTTTGGTGCTAACAGAACTCTGGTGCACATATTCCGCGAAAAATGTGTCATGCTTTTTTGTGTTAGAACGGCTCTACTGACACATATTCCGCGGAAAATGTGTCATGTTTTTTGTGTTCGCACAGCTCTACTGACACATATTCTGCGGAAAAAATGTCATGTTTTTGGTGCTAACAGAACTCTGGTGACACATACTCTGCGAAAAATGTGTCATGCTTTTTGTGTTAGCACGGCTCTACTGACACATATGTCGCGGAAAATGTGTCATGTTTTTTGCGTTAGCACAGCTCTACTGACAAATGTCAGCTTTTTGGCGCTAACAGAACTCTGGTGACACATATTCTGCGAAAAATGTGTCATGCTTTTTTGTGTTAGCACGGCTCTACTGACACATATTCCGCGAAAACAATTGTTATGTTTTTGCGCTAACAGAACTCTGGTGACACATATTCCGCGGAAAGTGTGTCATGCTTTTTTGAGTTAGAACGGCTCTACTGACACATATTCCGCGGAAAGTGTGTCATGTTTTTTGCGCTAGCACAGCTCTACTGACACATATTCTGCGGAAAAAATGTCATGTTTTTGGCGCTAACAGAACTCTGGTGACACATATTCTGCGAAAAATGTGTCATGTTTTTTGTGTTGCCACGGCTCTACTGACACATATTCCGCGAAAACAATTGTTATGTTTTTGGCGTTAACAGAACTCTGGTGACACATATTCCGCGGAAAGTGTGTCATGTTTTTTTGTGTTAGAACGGCTCTACACACATATTCCGCGGAAAGTGTGTCATGCTTTTTGTGTTAGCACAGCTCTACTGACACACATTCTGCGGAAAAAATGTCATGTTTTTGGCGCTAACAGAACTCTGGTGACACATATTCCGCGAAAAATGTGTCATGCTTTTTTGTGTTAGCACGGCTCTACTGACACATATTCCGCGGAAAGATTGTCATGTTTTTGGTGAAACTTACGAACACTTACCCCCCGATAAGCAAGACTTGGAACCACTCCGCGTACTCGGCCTTTAAGAGTTTAAGGGGGCAACAAGTTATATTTGCTCCTTTAAACTTACGAACACTTACCCCCCGATAAGCAAGACTTGGAACCTGCAGACAACAAACAGGTCTGTCGCAAAACCCCCGACCATTGATACATACCCCCTGTAACGGGTCGCGTATGTGGGCCGCGGCCCCATTACAAGCAATTAATACTGGCACGCGGCCATTTGTTTGTAAGAAACAGGGGTCCGCATACCGCAGCAAAACATAAACACATGATGATGATGCGAACAACTGACAAGATGATGAAGATGATGAGGATGAACAAGATCAAGGAGCTGATGAAGATGATGAAGATGATGAAGATGATGAAGATGATGAAGATGATGAAGATG